CTTCCAAGTGGATGACAGTGGTAGCCGGGCACCATCTAGTTCTTCTGGTCTCATAGTTGTATAGGCTGCAGATCAACATTTAGGTTTAATGATTAATTCCATAATAAGTCTGAAATGTAATCCCAAAATTACATACTTCCTAATTTCTCTTAAGTCTGCTCTTTAAAAAGCTATAAACTATTCCATCTTTTTTTCTTCACTTTCCTTCTTCATCTTAATCTCTCTGTCTTCCAGTCTTTCCAAGAGAAGACTGAGCACCCCTCTCTACATTTGACCTGGGAGATTTCCTCCAAGTCTATCAGATTCTGAAGCAAATGGTCCATATAAAAATTCTACTTTTTCCTAATAGAGGGGTAGGGAAAAAAAAAAAAGACCAGAGAAATTATAGACAACTTTTAAACACATAAATTTGAGATTTTATTGAAGTTCGTTTTATTGAACTTCACAGTACTATGCTCTGCAAATAGTATATGTTTTTTACAAATTGGTTGTTTGTGGCAGCCCTGCATCAAGCAAGTCAACTGGCACTGTTTTTCCAACAGGATGTTCTCACTTTGTGTCTCTGTGGCACATTTTGGTAATTCTCACAGTATTTCAAATTTTTCATAATGCTACTACATTACGACTATAGTACAGTATAAACATAAACATATACTAGTTTATACAATACATATGTACACAATTCATGTGACTCGCTTTATTGTGATATTTGCTTTACTGTGGTGGTCTGGACTGAAACTACTGTATCTCCAAGGTATTCTTGTATATTCTTGTACTCAATATACTTAGACTAATTGCATTGTTATGGAAAGCTGCCTATACAGGCATTATAAAACTTAGGTTATAATATGTTGTTCTTTCTAGTCCTCTAGACCAATGCTGTCCACAGAGCCTTCTGGGATCACAGAAATATTTTATATCTGTGACGCCCAATAATGTAATTGTCAAAGCAAATGTAGCAATCTTGAGAAGTGAGACTACAACACTTAATTTTGATTTTATTAAAGCTAAATAGCCACATGTGCCTAGTGCCTACATTAATGGTTAGTATAACCATGTGATGATGTGAAAATTCAATAATGAGTAAGGAAGACAGAAGAAGAGTTGATGCTTTTCAGTTGTGGTGTTGGCAAAGAATACTGAAAGTACCATGGACTGACAGAAGAATGAATCAATCTGTCCTGGAAGAAGTGCAGCCGGAATGCCCCTTGGAAGCAAAAATGGCCAGACTTCGATTCACGTACTTTGGTCACGTTGTCAAAAAGGACCATTCCCTAGAGAAGAGTATCATGCTTGGTAAAGTGGAGAGTCAGCAAAAAAGGGGAAAACCCTGAACAAGATGGACTGACACAGTGGCTACAACAATGGGCTAAGGTGTAGCAAGGACTATGAGGATTGCATATGACTGGGCGATGTTTTGTTCTCTTGTACACAGAGTCATTATGAGTTGGAGCCGAGCCATCTTGACAGCACCTAACAACAACATAGCCTTAAACCCTCTTCTTTCCTGTATTTCTTTTTCTTTACCATCTTAAAGTTTATTCAGATTCTCTCTTTGGGCTCTTTATTTCAAATCCCTTCTGTGTTACTTCTAAGTTTAAATAACTTGATAAAATTACAAGCTCAATGCTGGCAAAACTAGATATCCACTTGCAGAAAAATGAAACACCTCACCCCATACACAAAAACAAACTCAAGCTGGATCAAAGACTTAAATGTAAAACCCAAAACTATAAAATTCATCAAAGATAAAACAGGGCAAATCTAGGAGCCCTAATTTATGGCAAAAATATACTATCAAACATGACCTACAACACACAAGAGGTGGAAGAGAAGGTAGATGGCTGGGACCTTTGAAAGATTAAATTCTTATGCACATCAAAAAGGTAAAAGAGAACCTACAGATTGGGAGAAAATATTTCCTTATGACATATCTGACAAAGGACTTATCTTCAAAATCTACAGAAAACTAACACCTCAACACCAAAAAAGACAAACAATCTAATTCCAAAATGGGCAAGAGACTTGAACAGACACTTCACTAAAGACAGTGTTGGTGGCCAACAAAGACATGAGGAATTGCTCACGATCTTTAGTCATTAGAGAGATGCAAATCAAAACAATGATGAGGTATCATCTCACCCCAGCAATAATAGCAAAGTTCAACAGGACAGAAAATTACAAATGTTGGCGAGAGGTTGTGGAGAGAGTGGAACTCTTGTGCACTACTGGTGGGATTGTAAAATGGTACAACCATTGTGGCAAATGGTATGGCATTTCCTTAAAACTGAAAATAGAAATACCATTTGACCCTGCAATTGCATTACTAGGAATATATCCTAGGCAGGACACAAATAGACACATGCACACCTATGCTCATTGCAGCACAATTCACTATAACAAAGAGATGAAAACAACCTAAATGCCCATCAACGGATAAATGGATAACCAAATTATGGTACATTCACACAATGGAATACTATGCTACATTAAAGAACAATGAAGGATACGTGAATCATCTCACAATGTGGATGAGCCTGGAGGACGTTATGCTGAGTGAAATAAGTCAGTCACAGAAGGACAAATGTTGTATGAGCCCATGACTATAAAAAGACAAAGAAGGGAACTCACTTTGTAAGTTACCAGGGTGGGGAGAGAAGGGGAAGGGATTAATTTCAGGCTGGTTGGGGGCCACACACCGATGTGTGTAAGGAGAGAGATGGTATTGAAAGAGTCTGTGACCACCATGATAACATTAGGGAAAGGGAGGACACTGAATTATGCACATAAGATATAGACGGCAGAGGCTAATACCAGTATATCCACAATACTGTGTTACCATTAACACCAAACACCAGGCTACAGACAAACAAATAAACATATAAGAAGATCAGATGGGGGTCACTGAACAGGATTACACTCTAGACTAAGGATATATTCAGCTAAGGCTAATCTTGCACAGATACCAATAATACAAAATACCTGCAATCCTTACAGAAACAACAGAAGACAGACAGAGAGCAATTACTCACAGACAGCCAGACACTGTGGGAGAGAGATCCAATGGATCTACCAATTTTTTCATTAAAAATCTTGCTCCACAACCAACACTGGTGAGTAGCAACTGTGGTCTTAAAAGCTTTCAAGCAGCTATCTAAGATACAGTTAATGGTCTCCTATCATTGGAAGTGAAGAAGGTAAAAAAAAAAAAACTCAAGGACTTTTAGAAGTAATCAGCCTAGAATATGATGGACCTTGAGACGGGAAGAACTAGATGTGCCTGGCTAGCAATGCCAACCACTCGGGAAAGGGTCAAAACTGGAGATCCTGGATAGAGTGGGAAAAACGTGGAACAAAATCCAAAAACACAATAATGACCAGAATTACTGGTCAGATAGGATCTGGTGGGACCCCCAATTCTATGGCCTTGGGATACACTTCGGGCCTGGAATAAAACTCACTCCCAGGGGCTGGCTCTCAGCCCAACAGTAAATAAGATGTACATGCAGACCACTCAACCCAGGGTGACTCACCCTCATACTCTATGGAAATGCATCCCTTGGAGTAATCGACCACAGGGCACCAGAGGGGCAACGTTCACATGGAGAAAATGCAGGACACACAGGAGTGCATGACTATGAAGTGCATGGGGTGGTGGGATGTTACTGGGCAGGGAGGGGAGGAGAGTGGGTTAGGGCTGGGGATGGGAATTGGGGAATGAAACCAAATGTACACAAAATGTTGAATGTAAAACAAACTCTGTTCTGTAGACTTATACCTAAAGCACAATAAAAAAATGTTTTAAATAAATAAAACAAGGAAAAAAAAATATAACCTCAAAATCAAACAGAAGCATTTAAAAGGAATTTTAAAAGCTAGCTTTAAAAGGTGTTTTTTTTTTTGTTTGTTTTTTTGATGAAAAGCACTGTAATCAAGTATTTATGATATTTTAATCACAATTTACTTTAAAAAAAAGAAAGGAAGAAAACAATTGTCTCTGAGTGCTTAAAACTGCAACCTTACCAATATACACTTTCCTCTGAATTCTTTGTCAGCTACATAATTGTTGTTGTTGTTGTTATGTGCCATCGAGTCAAACCCGACTCACAGCGACCCCTCCTTGGGTTTCCGAGGCAGTATCACTATGGAAGTAGGATTGCCCAACCTTCCTTCCGAGGAGTGGCTGGTGGGTTTGAACCGCCAGCCGTCTGGTTAGCAGGCAAGTGTCTTAGCCACTATGCTACCAGAGCTCCCACATAATTAGTCCCAGGATAAGATAATGGTATATTTAACCTTAAGCACAGAACGAACAAGCTGAATTGAGAGAACAAAGGAAAATCATTTTGTACTGTGATAGTAAGCTGAAATATGATAGATCAAATATAGTAATACAATGTGTTAGTCAATGAAGAACTATATAATTTCTCTTTCTCGTTATTTATCAAAACACCAAAGATCAAGCCTTACCTCAATTTTAACAGATTGCTTTTCTTTCCAAATGAATCTACACATACACATTATTTTAAAGTAAAATTATAGCAAATGTGACCATAAGATCTCAGAAAAAAGAACTTAAGTGTTTTAAACTCCCTCTTTGTCTCTTGTTTTCTCTTCTCCTTTCCCCACACATAAATCACTGTCTTATTTTCAAAGCACAAATGTTAAGTGTTAAGAAAAACAACCATGATGGTTGTCCGTTTGGAATGAAATAATGGCCTCCCTCTGGGATTGGTATTAATGTCATCACCACCAATCAATTCCTTCTTTCTTTTGCCTATCAAGTTGGCTTTCTGTACTTTGGAGGCCATAAAAGGGTATTAGTGGGAAGAAGGGACAAAGCAGGGGAGGGTGGAACATATAAAACAACCACAGTATTCAGAAAAATAATTCAAAGGAATTCAAATTATGTGAATTCAAATTATGTGCTAATCTACCAATTTCTGAATGACTGCTGATTTGATTCATGTGTTTGCCATTTGAGTAAACATAACAGAACTTACTATTTTGAGCCAGGGCTTGAAGCAGACAATCCAAGCATCCTTCTAAACTATCCTCAGTCCTGTCTACAGCTGTTATCTTCAGCTTCTTCAAGGTATCACTGAGATTATCTGTTTATAGAAAAAAGAAAAATCAGCAAACTCACCCACCTTATAATCATCATATCTTACATGATAAAAGGAGAGTTAACACTGTCATGCAAAAGTCTCCAACTATACTGAATTAATTTCTACATGCATTCCAAAATGGAAATGAGCACATTTAAAAAAAAAAAAATTTCAATTAAAACTTAATCCATTTAACATTCTATATGTGTAAAATACCAGTAATATTCCACGGAAAGTCAAACAACTTCTTTTTCAGCACTTATACCTTATCAAACTTGTTCAAAAAACCAGCCATGGTTAATCAAGAAAAACTATATTCTCCATAAACTTATATAGTTTTGAAATAATATCTTCTTTCCTGTGCTTCCTCTGATGTATTTTTGAAAATATGAAATGAAAATAATAGCTTAGCAAAGTTTCAAAATAAAATGACATCAAATAATACAAAGTTATAATTAAAAAACCTGCTTAACACTGCCATTTGAGAAATATTTTAAATCAAGGTATTATGTTAAGCCATAACCTGTAAATTTTAGATTAAAAAAGTAGGCTTTCCTCCTTAATTATATGTAGATTCCTATAGACCACAGATTATCAAAATTCCTTCATACTAATAAAAGTTATCAAAGACACCAAAGAGCTTTGTTGTTGTTCTTGTTATGTGCCGTGGAGTTGGACCCAACTCACAGCAACCGCTCCTCGGGTTTCCGAGACAGCATCACTACGGAAGTAGATTACGCTTCCGAGGAGTGGCTGGTGGGTTTGAACCGCCAGCCTTCAGGTTAGCAGTCAAGTGCCTTGGTGCATGTTAATTATTATTATTCCTACTGATATTTAATAAATTAAATATTAAAACTATGACTTTTATACATATATTTAGGAATCTGTCTTGGAAGAAGTACAGCCACAATGCTCCTTAGAAGCAAAGATGGTGAGACTTTGTCTCATGGACATACTTGTCTCTTTGGACATACTATCAGGAGGGACATGGCCCTGGAGAAGGACATCATGCTTAGTAAAGTAGAGGGTCCGCAGAAAAAAAAGGAAGACCCTCAATGAGATGGATTGACACAGTATCTGCAACAATGTGCTCAAACATAAACTGTGAAGATGACACAGGACTAAGCAATGTTTCATTATGTTGTACAGAAGGTTACTATGAGTCAGAACAGACTTGACAGCAGTTAACAACAACAATTAATTTATAAATAATGTATTTTTAATGAAAACTATACTTTGGTAGCACAGTGCCTAAGACACCTGACTGCTAACCAAAGGGCTGGCAGTTCAAACCCACCAGCCACTCCTCGGAAGATGGGGCAATCTACTTCCGTAGTGCTACTGCCTCGGAAACCCAAGGAGGGGTCACTATGAGTCAGATTCAACTCGACAGCACATACCAACCAACAACAACAACATACTTTGAAAACAAAACAATATAATAAGAAAAGTGGTATCATTTTACTTTTTTGCAAACCTCTATATTGTGTGACTTACTAGAAGGAAACTGGATTCTCATCTCTTATTCTGTACTCAATCGTACACAATGTGTTAATTTGATTGAGTAAATGAAGAAAATTCAGCCTGACACATATAGATAGAACAAAAACAGGCTTACTTTAATAGCCTTTTCAGATAACTAGGTATTATTTGATATCACACCAAAACAAGTGATGATTTAAGGTTAGCTGCAATATGAAATCTGAAACTTTATCAATGAACTCTTGTAATTGTTATCACATTAAAAACCATTGGTCTCTTGCATTTTGAATTCTTTATGCATAAAAGATTTCATCATCACACATTAGTCATTTGCAAAATATCAGATCACTCTGAATAAGAAAGCATAACCCAACAATATGCTGTATACAAGAGACACAACTTAGAGACAAAGATAAAACTAGACGAAAAATCAAAGGTTGGAACAAGATATATCAAGCAAATGGCAACCAAAAAAGAGCAGGAGTGGCAGTATTAATTTCTGATAAAACTGACTTTAAGATAAAAATAACCATAAGAGACAAGGAAGAATACTACATAATGATTAAAGGATCAATCGAACAAGAAGCCATAACAATAATAAATATCTATGGACCCAATGAAAGAGTCCCAAAATACATAAATCAGACTTCAACAGAACTGAAACGACAAACAAATGACTCCACAGTCATAGTAAGAGACTTTAACACACCACTTTCAATGAGAGATAGAACAACTGGAAAGAAACTCAACAAAGACGCAGAACTAAACAATACAATCCACTAACTAGACCTTACAGACATCAACAGAGTACTTCGCCCAACAACAGCACAATATACACTCTTTTCCAGTGTACATGGAACATTCTCCATGATAGACCATATGTTAGGGAATAATGTGGCATAAAGCTAGCCTTAATAAATTTTAAAACATTGAAGTACTACAAAGCATCTTCTCAGATCACAATGCTATAAAATAAGAAATCAACAATGAGAAAATCAATGGAAAAACAGCAAACACAAGGAAACTGAACACTCTCATTAAGAATGACTAGGTAATAACAGAAGAAATGAAAAATAAAATTTAAAAATTCCTTGAATCAAACAAGACTGACAACATACCAAAATGTTTGGGACACAGAAAAGCAGTGATCAGAAGCCAATTTATAGCAATAAAAAGACACATCAAAAAAGAAAAAAAAGAGCCAAAATCAACACTTTAAACCAGTATCTCCAACAATTAGAAATGGGGGGGGGGGGGGGGAAGCCTACAGTCACCAGAAGAAATAATATAGATTTGAGCAGAAATAAATGAAACAGAAAATAGAAAGACAACAGAAAAAACAAGACTTAGAAATTGGTTTTTTGAAAAGATTAATAAAATTGACAAATGATTGGCAAATTTAATAAAGGAAAAGAGGGAGAGAATACAAATAACACAAATAAACAAATTGGGTGACATCACAACAGAACCAACTGAGATAAAAAAGATAGTATCAATAATGTGAAGAACTGTAATCCAACAAATTTGAAAATCTAGAAATGGGCAGATTTCAAAAAACACAGTACTTAACCTAAACTAACACACATTGAGGTGGAAAAGCTGAACAGATCCGTAACAAAGGAAAAAACTCAACAGGTCATAAAAAAAATTACCAACAAAAATGTCCTGGCCCAGATGGTTTCACTGGAGAACTCTACCAAGTGTTCAGACAAGAAATGACACCAATTCTACTCAAACTATTCCAGAACACAGAAAAGCATGGAATTCTCCTAAATTCATTTTATGAAGTAAGCATAACCTTGATATCAAAAATAAGCAAAGACATCACTAAAAAGGAAATCTACAGATCATTATCCCTCTTGAACAAAGATGCAAAAATCTTCAACAAAATCTCAGCCAATAGACACCAACAACGTATCAAAAATATAATACATTGTGACCAAGTGGGATTCATATTAGGTATGCAAAGATGGTTCAACATAAGAAAAACAATCAATGTCTTCCATCACATAAATAAAACAGGAAAAGAACTACATGATCATATTAATCAATGCAGATAAGGCATTTAATAAACTCTAACACCCATTCCTGATCAAAACTCTCAGCAAAATAGGAATAGAAGGGACATTCCTCAGTATAATAAAGGGCATCTCTGGTAGCATAGTGCCTAAGGCACTTGACTGCTAACCAGAAGGCTAGCGGTTCAAACCCACCAGCCACTCCTTGGAAAGAGAGTTGGGCAATCTACTTCTGCAGTAATACTGCTGCAGAAACCCAAGGAGGGTTGCTATGAGTTGGGTCCGATTTGACGGCAAATAACAACAACATGCAAAATTAACAGCCAACATTATTTGCAATGAAGAGAAGACTGAAACCATTACCCCTGCAAATGGGAACCAGACAAGAACGCCTTCTATCACCACTTCTATTGAACATTGTATTGGAAGTCCTAGCCAGGGCAATAAGGCAAGAAAGGGAAATCAAAGGCATCCAAATTGGTAAGGAAGAAGTCAAACTATCCCTATTTGCTGATAATACGATCCTATACCTAGAAAACCCAAGAGACTCAGCAGAAACACGGCTGGCACTAATTAAGAGATTTAGCATTGTGGCAGAATACAAGATCAACATCCAAAAATTAGTTGGATTCCTCTACACCAGCAAAGAGATTGCTGAAAAGGAAATAAGGAAACCAGTACCATTTACAATAGCTACCAAAAAGTAAAATACTTGAGAATAAATCTTACCAGGAACACAAAACACTTGTACAAAGTACACTACACAAAAGACTACTTCAAGAAACCACAAGAAACCTACATAAATGGAAGAACATACCATGCTTGTGTACCGAAGACTGAACATTGTGAAAATGTCAATTCAACTCAAAACAATCTATATATTCAATGCAATACCAATCCAGATCCCATCAA